AGGAAGTTGAACGATGAGAACACATGGACACAGGGAGGGGAACATCACACACCAGGGCCTGTCGGGAGCTGGGAGGCTAGGGGAGGGATAACATTAGGAGAAATACCTAATGTAGGTGACGGGTTGATGGGTGCAGCAAACCACCAGGGCACGTGTATACCCATGTTACAAAACTGCATGTTACGCACATGTAACCCAGAACTTAAAGTATAACTAAAAAAAAAAAAAAGATAAAATTATTTACAGCAGAATAGGTTTAATTAGCAAAATACTGGAAATGGCTATCTGTCCATCAATAGGAAAACAGTTAAATTATGGTACATCTATACAATGAAGTACCATAAAGCTAAAAATGAAAGCACAAGGAAGCTATGTATGAAAGGGAAAGAGCACTGAGATAAAAAAACAGGGGAAGGGAGAATAATTAACATTCATTAGCACATGCATAAATACATGAGAAGATTCTCAAGAAACCAGTAACAGTGCTTATGTCTGGGGGTGGGGTGTAAAGATGATGAACAGAGGATGGGGTGGAAGACTTTTTACTACACTGTGTTCCTTTCTGCATTTTGTGATTTTAAGACTGTGTGAGTCTAGCATCCATTCAAAAAGTTAAATTAAAATGGAAGCAACTTAAAATGAGTAAGAAAAGAAATATGTGTTAAGTACTATAGGGTGATATGGACCATGTGGTCTCAGCATGGACCATAAAGAGTTAGCTCTGTATAAGGTAGCAGGTCTAGAGCTGCTCTAATACAAGTGCCACTAGTCAAAGGTGGCTCATTAAATTAAAATTAAATAAAATTAAATGTTCAGTTCCTTAGTCACACCAGCACCCACATCAAGTGCCAAATAGCCACATATGGCTCACAGCTCCTGTAATGACAGCTTAGATAGAAATTTTCACTACTGCAGATAGTTCTATTATTACAGTGCTAATCTACAGAAAGGTCTAGAAGAGCCATCTGATGCTGTAGAAGACCTTCAGGCAAGCAGAGGGAGCAGAGGGCTCAGTTACAAAAGGGTGCAACGTCCCCAAGAGAAACTGTCTGGTGAACCAAACTATGAGGTGTTTGGTGAAGGAAGGTAGTACACATGATGGACAGCCGAAAAAGTAGGCTGGGTCAAATAACACAGACTGTTCACAATCTGTAAAATGGAAACTCCAATTATGGAGGACCAAGAATCAGAAGAGTAAGACTGACTGCTTTCCATCTTCCCATTTATAAGTCAGCAGTCAAATTAATTATTTAGAAGTCAATTATGTAAGTTATAGGTGGAAAAAAACCCAACAACCCTATGGTTTATGGGTCCCCCATACTGTTTTGGTGATAACGTTGATGTTCACTAGTTATTTCAATAGACGAGAGAGAGAGCAACATGTAAAATCGGTCAAGGTAAGAAACCATTTAGTCTGGTTTCCCATCTTGGTTTCCCATCTTGGAGATGAGTAACAAGAGCGCACAGGACAGTGAAGTAGTTAGTCTCCATGGCACTGAACCAGATGCAGACACTCTCCATAATATCACTGTCTTTCCTTTCTAAGTCTATTGTTAATACACATTTACACACTGAAGTATTCTCAGTCATCCAAAGATTCCATTTTAAATGTTTTACCCAATACATCATGGCAATGTGAAAAAAACTCATTAACTTAACAGACTTGGCTGACTGTTCTGCAGCTGCAATTCTAGGCACAAGAGAGATCACATGCACGCCAGCACACAGCGTTCAGGAGCGAACTAGTCCCAGTAGTAAAGGCAGCAATTAATCTTAATGGAGGTCAGTAACTACTGAGACTGTTATAGACACTCCACCCAGAGAAATGCACATGTGCACAGACACATAGCACCTTCAAACAGTTTCAGGAGGAACCGCACTTGGAGCAGACTACTAGGGATGACAGAGGTGGACCTTGCTGTTGGTTCACTGCAAACATGGAGTAAGTGGCAGTGTTCCCTTCTCTGTAAGAATAGACACCACAGTTGAAGACTCATTTCTGTCACAAGCAGAATTCAAGACAAGAGCATTAAAATGCTTATGAAGAGTCTACTCCCACGGTAAAATTCTTACGTTAATAATGTACCATGAATAAAGCAGAATATTAAAGCTGCATAGTCCATATTTTATCACATTTAAGATATCATTTGTAAGCTTAGTTGAACCGAAAAAGGAAAAATTTTGCCAATTAAATTATGACACAATTCTTTTTTTATCACATCACCTGTAAGATGCAATCAGATTTTTGAGATGCTAAAATTTAAGAAAAAGTGCATCTTAGAATTGGTACTTATGATTGTGTCCATGTTAAGAAAACAGTAATAACCACCAAACAATAGTTACTAAATGAAATTCCTAATGGGAAAAAAATGCAGATTTTAAAAAATACTATTCTTTCTTGGAGAAATAAGCCAGCAAAAATACATAAATAAGTAAGTAAAATTTAAAAAAAAAGAAAAAAATGTGAAATGTTTACACTTAGGAGAAAGAACACTAGCAAAGGAGTCAGGTGTGGTCAGAGAGGAGGAATGCCAGGATAAAGCAGAACTACAAAATCCAATGAAGGCTAACAGTTTAACAGTTACAATGTGCCTGTCACTAATCTGAAGGCTTTTCATGTAGCCCTCAATGAATCCTCTATGGTTATATGAAGTAGGTCCTATTATTATTCCCAGTTTACAGACAAGGAAACACATTCACAGACAGGGTAGGTGAGCTGGCCCAATTAAAAAGGTGGTAAGCAAGGGAGTCAAGATTTGAATCCATGTAGTCTTGTACTCTGAGCCCACATTTTAACCAGTATGCCCTGGCAGGCTCAGAAACTGGCTTCCCAAATCTTAAAGATCTCTCTGCTACAGCCTGGCACAGTGGCTCACACCTGTAATCCCAGCACTTTGGGAGGCCAGGAGTTCAAGACCAGCCTGGCCAACATGGTGAAACCCTGTCTTTACTAAAAACACAAAAATTAGCTGTGCGTGGTGGCACATGCCTATAATCCCAGCTACTTGGGAGGCTGAGGCACAAGAATTGCTTGAACCCGGGAGGCGAAGGCTGCAGTGAGCTGAGATAGCCATTGCACTCCAGCCTGGGTGACACAGGGAGACTCTGTCCTAGAAAAAAAAAAAAAAAAAAAGATCTTTCTGACAAGATCATTGGTGATACTAATAAATGTGATTTTTTTAAAACATTGAACAAATAAAATGAATCTGCATAGCTCAGTGAACTATTTTCTAAAGAACCAGTGCCTGATATAACCAAATCATGCATGAGTAAAAGATCCATTTGAAGTGCAAGGCAGATTAATGAATTTTCACCTAACAAGAGTACAAAAAGTTTACTGTTATCGTTTCAGATTCCAGACTGCAAATAACCCTTGACTGACTACCACTTGTTCAGTTTGGGTGTAGTATCAAAGGTGGAACATCCACAAAACATACTTCTTCCTTTCCAACTACTTATCTGTGTGGTCAGATTTGCTTCATTTACAACAACATCTCATGATACATTTAATGCAGAAAAAAGATATAAGAATCTTCCAGCTGTCATTGATTAAGCCGAGCATTAAAGAGATTTGCAAAAACGTAAAACAAAGACATTCCTCATTAGACATTTTGTTTTAGAAAATATTTATTGTTCATAAAATGTTACAGTAACATGTGATAGGTGTTTTGGTTTTGTTCTGAGAGAGTCTCACTCTGTCCCCCAGGTTGGAGTACAGTAGCACGATCTCAGCTTACCGCAACCTCTACCTCCCGGATTCAAGTGATTCTGCTGCCTCAGCCTCCCGAGTTGCTGGGATTGCAGGTGCCTGCCGCCACGGCCGGCTGATTTTTTGTGTTTTTAGTAGAGACAGGGTTTTGCCATGTTGGCCAGGCTGGTCTCAAACTCCTGAACTCAGGTGATACACACGCTTTGGCCTCTCAAAAGTGCCGGGATTACAGGTGTGAGCCACTGTGCCCGGACTTTTTTTTTGAGATGGAGTTTCACTCTTGTTGACCAGGCTGGAGTGCAATGGCACAATCTCAGCTCACTGTAATCTCCACCTCCAGGGTTCAAGCAGTTCTCCTGCCTCAGCTTCCCAAGTAGGGGGGATTACAGGCATATGCCACCACACCTAGCTAAGTTTTTGTATTTTTAGTAGAGACAGGGTTTTGCCATGTTGGCCAAGCTGGTCTTGAACTCCTGACCTCAGGTGATCCACACGCTTCGGCCTCTCAAAGTGCTGGGATTACAGGTGTGAGCCACCGTACCCGGCCTTTTTTTTTTTTTTTTTGAGACAGAGCTTCACTCTTGTTGACCAGGCTGGAGTGCAATGGCACAATCTCAGCTCACTGCAACCTCTGCCTCCAGGATTCAAGCAGTTCTCCTGCCTCAGCCTCCCAAGTAAGTAGCTGGGATTACAGGCATATGCCACCACACCCGGCTAATTTTTTTTATTTTTAGTAAAGATGGGGCTTCACCATGTTGGTGAGGCTGGTCTCAAACTCCTGACCTCAGGTGATCCATCTGCCTTGGCCTCCCAAAGTGCTGGGATTACAGGTGTGAGCCACGATGCCCAGCCAGGTTTTTTAAATGAATAAATATTTAAAAACTTTTTCAGTTTCAGTTTCTAATAAATTAAGTATTAACAGATCAAATCCATAGAAAATGAAAGAACACTGTCCACTATTACTGTTACACACTACTATACATAGCCACCTTGCATTGTTGTATCTCACTGAATCTGGGAACCCTATGAGGTAAGTGGTAGTATTCCTGCTTACCAATGAGAAGTCGGCTAACTTAATTCCCTTGCCCAAGGTAGCCCAAGTAGGAAGTGGTCAGACCAGTACTGGCAACAACGTCTGTCAGATGCCAGAATCCCTGCATTTAATTGCTGTGCTCTATTGAGTCCATAAGTAGGTGTCAAAACATGATGCGCTTCCCATAAATATGAGTTAAGCTGTTTGACAGAGAACAGGTGATATTTGCAAAGCAATGAATAGAATTGCATGACTTACTTTATATATCTCTTCATATGTTTCTTCATCAATTTCTATAGTAGTCACAGTTTCTTCCACGTCTCCCAAGATCATATTTAAATGTTGATCATAAGCCTCAAGTGGGAGGGTAAAGAACCAAGAAATTTAATAATCAAATTATGAAAATGATCAAGGCTTAACAATATGCAAATTGCTCAATTACAACTAAGGCATTTGATACTTACATCACAAACTTTTACATGCAAATAAAAAGTAATCCTACTGTACTAATACACTGTTTCTTTACAAGTCATTTCAAATGATTACTTAATTGACCTGATAAAAATATAAAACTGCTCATATGGCCAAAAATAAATTTACTCAAAATCACTTGAAATTATTTTTAAAGTCTCCACCCCACTTGTTATCTAAGGCAGTCACATCATTTATAATATTTAATTATGAAAAACAGCAGATCCATCTTCATCATTTATCAGTAGACATCCTTCAAATTCACCTATAACAATGTGACAAGAAAAATACAGTAAAGAAGATAAAATCCTTTGTTTACTGGTAAGATGATGGCATTGCAGTCTTCTAAAGGCACACGGTAGACTACATGTTGCAGAGAGAAAGTAAGTAGAGCAACACCCTGCCCATTTCTAACCTATCCAAAACTTAAATGCACCTGTGGGCTCAATCAATAAATGTTGCAGCTAAGATATTCAATCCAAGCTCCAAAGTTCATTCATTTTACTAAAAGGTGCACTTTAAAGCTGGGACTTTGTTCAGAACTCAAGTTTACTTCTAACAACGTGTTACATGGTTCACCTGCTCACATCAAAATAAAAGTCACTTGTCAGCCACGTGGGGAACTGCTTTAAGCAGGGCACACTAACAAGAGCAAAAATGTGTAACTGAGGGGCACAAAACAAACAGAAAGTTGGGGCCATTTAGGATAGAGACCATCAAGTTTACACAGGGAACTGAAGAAGCCTCCAAGGGCCACAGACTTAAGTAATTAAGCTCAATTCCATTTGTATTCCCGAAGTTACCACTATTCCTTTCCTGGAGTCTCTCTTCCTTTAAGGCCAACTGTAGATTGTCTCCCTGGGTCCCTATTTCCTTTCCAAGCCCAGAGGTTCTTTATCGTTAGGTTTTGTGGAAGGTGGAACCACAGTACTTAAGAGTGGGGCTCAGGTCAGACAATCTAGATTCAAATTCTAGCTCTCCCTTTACTGGCAAGTGACTGTACCTTTCTGAGCCTGAGCTTCCTACAGTGCAAAGCAGGAATAATTAGTATGTATCATCACAGGGTTGTTATAAAGATTAAATCAGATATCACACACAAAATGCTTAGAATAATAGTAGCTGGTCTATAACTAATGCTCAATAAATGTTAGCTATTTTTAATCACTTTAGGGTAAAGTAGCAACACTAAAAACAACACACTTAGGAAAGCAACAAGTCATTAAGGAGAGGCAAAATCTTGAGGGTACTCTATGAACAAATGGGATTACTTCAAGGGACCAATTCTACAGATATTTTGCAGATATGCACAAATAAATATGTAAAAAAAATGCTTACTGAAAGTATTTATGTAAGTATTTGTAGCAAGAAATGAAAAAAAAATCGATCACTATCATATACAGAATCCTAGGTAGTCATTAAAGAGAACAAATGAGAATTAAATGCACTAATGATCAATAATCTCAAAGAAAGATTAAGTGAAAAAAAAAAAGGTGCTGAAAAACATGTATAGCAGGATCCATGTTTTGTAGAGGTAGGGTGTACATAGTGCAAGTATGTGCATATGTACATATATGAATGTATGTGTGTAAACATACAGAAACAGTAACCCAATTTTTAATTTTTTTATTTTTATTTTTTGTAGAGACAGGATCTCTCTATGTTGCCCAGGCTGACAACACAGAGAACTCCTGGCCTCAAGTGATCCTCCTGCCCCAGACTCCCAAAGTGCTGAGATTACAGGGATAAGCCACTGCACCCGGCCAAGATAATCCAATTTTTAATAGTGGTTACCAGTAGAGGAAATGGGATTTCACTTTTTACTCTATATATTTTTGTGCTGTTTAACTTTTCATAATAAAACATATATTTGTGTTTTAAGTTTAAAAAACATTTAAGAATGGAGGACAAATAAATGTTATTTACAAATAAACAGAAGGGAAAAATGAAGGGAATAAAAATGTTCTATAATAAACATATTTCTATTAAAAGAAAAAATATTAAAAATGTGAATACATGCAGCTTCATCTGGCTTATGGAAACATGGGTGATTTTCCACTACCCTCTCTTCCTTCAAAATACCTTTTCACTCTGGACAGGTTTTACATTTCAAGGGAGTGGGGGTGGGAAGGAATCTGATTTCAAGGTAACTTGATAAATTTACTCACATGTAATCTGCCTCGAAGCTCTCGGTCATTTCTCATCTTCACATAAATTCGCTCATCTAGGCTGAGCCTGATAAGATCCAGGGGCTCCTCTACAGTGTTGGTAGTTTGTTGCTGATAACAGAAACAGGTTTAGTAATATAGTACTAGAGATAAAGTAGTGCTTAAATCACTGCTATGCTGTATGACCATGTGCAAGTTATTTAACCTTTTTCTGCCTCAGTCTCCTAATCTGTAAAATGGAGATAATAGTGTCTACCTAATACTGTTTTTATGAGGCTTAAGTGACATATATCAAGGCTTAGAACAGAACTTTTCACATAGTATGTGCTATATAAATGTAGATTAAAACACGCATACATAAGAAGGAGTTACACAGCAAAATAATCATGACTATACCTTGTTCCCTCAAAATCCAAACTGCCTGACCCAATTTCAGGGTATAGGGTCTTAGGAACTTTAGCTTTATCTCAAATATTATGTAATCATAGGAAAAACACTCACTTAATGCATACCATATACTAGTCAGAATGCCAAGTAGAGGTGTAGGTTTATGGGAAGATTATGAATTCAGTACAGGTTGAGGTTAGGCTGCCAACTGGCCAGTAAGATGAATATTTAGTAGCCAGAATAGAACACTGGTTCAAAGCACTGGCTTAGCCGGGCATGGTGGCATGTGCCTGTAGTCCCAGCTACTCCGAGGCTGAGGTGGGAGGATTGTCTGAACCTGGAAGGTGGAGGTTGCAGTGAGCCAAGATGGTGCCAGCAAGCAAGCAAGCACTGACTTTGGAGTCAGGCAGTCCGGGTTCAACTCCTGGCTGTGACCTGACACTTATGAACTGAGATTAAAAATCATGCCATCTGTAATTCTCAGATTCTTCATTTGTAATTGAGAAAGCCACAACCTTCCTTCGGGATTCTTATGAGGATGAAACTAGTTAATGCATTTAAAACAGTGCCAGGAAAGCAGAAAATATTAATACTTAGAAATGGTTCCTATTGGCTGGGTGTGGTGGCTCACACCTGAATTCCAGCACTTTGGGAGGCTGAGAAAGGCAGATCACCTGAGGTTAGGAGTTTGAGACCAGCCTGGCCAACAGGGTGAAACCCCGTCTCTACTAAAAATACAAAAATTAGCCAGGCGTGCTGGCACGTGCCTGTAGTCCCAGCTACTTGGGAGGCTGAGACAGGAGAATCGCTTGAACCAGGAGGCAGAGGTTGCAGTGAACTGAGATCACGCCACTGCACTCCAGCCTGGGCGATAGAGTGAGACTCTATCTAAAAAAAAAAAAAAGAAAAGAAAAGATTCCTACTAATATTATATTATTAAAGAACTGCTGGAAACACTGGTTTTAGAGGTCAGGGCTAGGATGACTTGGGGTCACCCACATGGAAGGGAGGGTTGCAGCCATTAAAGAGTTAGATGATTCAAGGAGAGCTTCTTTAGTAAGTACACAAGGCCAGTGGAGGAAGGTAACTGAATTCGTAACAGGAGCTAAAGATTCAAAAGGCCCGATGAGACAAAAAAAATAACCTAACTCAACTGGTCCCTATGTCCCTCAGTTCAACAGGTGTTTGTTAAAGGATCAGATAACCAACTGTTAGATTACAATGATACAGAAATCACAATCTCCACCCTCAAGGAGCTCATTCTAATGTGGATAGGCATATGAATAATTATAATACTGTAAGAATATGCACATGACAGAGCTCTACTGCTACCTAAGCCTCTGTCTGGGATGCTCACTTTCTGTTCTTTTCATCCTGTAGCTTTATACATTGGCTTTTAAAAGAGGCCTCCTCTGATCATCTAACTCATTCACTCAAATATTTGTTGAGTATTTCCAGCACTGTTCTAAACCCCAAGGACAAAAGAATGAACAAAACAAAATCCCCACTGTTATGGTACTTACATTCTAGTCAGGAGAGATACACATTAAACAAAGATGCATACATTTAATATGAAAAAATAACGTTCTATGAAGAAAAATGAGGCAGGGTGAGCAGAGTAGGGGGAGTGCTATTTGGGCAGAAGTCCTCTCTGAGGAGGTGAGATTTCAGTAGAAAGTTTAAGTTGTAGCATGATCTCCAAAGATATTTGAGGAAGAAAAAGACCAGGTGAAAAAGCTTCTAGGACCATCTGTTATTCTGCATATCAGTTCCTTGTTTCCTTCATAGCACATCACAGTTCCTATAAATCTTACATATTTATATTTATCTGTTCTCCTCGCGAATATAAGCTCCAAGTCATGGCAAGGATCACTTATATATCGATGTCAGTGTCCCTGGCTCTTAGAACAGTGTCTAACCATACAAAGCTGATGTTCACTCTCTCTGCTGAATGAGTAAATAATTGTTGTGCTCAGTAATGATAACAACTCCTAACTTTATTATCTGGCTTTCTATTGGAATCCTGACAGCTCCGTGAGGTAGGCACGCATAATAACTTACAGATTTAAAAAAACGAAGCGAAGAGTGTGATGAATAGTCATCAGGTGGCCTTCTAACGGAAAAGACCTCAGGGCCTGCAGCAAAATTCGGACAGGGGTGTTTACGGAAAGGATGGGGCGGATTAGGCCGTGTGACTTGGAAAGAGGAGGCGCGACTGGCCATTTTTCCTGAGTTTGGAAAATGCAGTTTAGTACAAGAAGCGGCTCCGAGCCACCGCCTTAAAATTCACTCACCTGGTCTACGTCGTCCGCCATGTTTCAAACCCTGCGCCCTTTCACGCCTCTCGCGAGAACACAAGAGCAACGCCGAGCTCCGGAAACGTGATGCTACAATACACCGGAAATAGAAACCTGTTGTGCTCTTGCCTGCTTCCCGCGGTTTTTTAGTGGCCACGGGTATGGGGCGGAGCTTCCTTTGGGGGCGTGACTAGGCCTCCAACGAAGGGGCGTGGCCAGACGCGCCCGCCTCGGGGCGGGGCCTGCGTTCTAACGCATCGCGGTCTGGTGCGTCACTCGCGAAGTGGATTTTTCCCCGACAAGCAATATGGCTCGGAAGCGCGCGGCCGGCAGGGAGCCGCGGGGACGCGAAACGCGCAGCCAGAAGTCCAAGGCCAAGAGCAAGACCCGGCGTGAGGAGGAGGAGGGTGAGAGCGTGGCCCAGCGGGCTTCGCGGGAGACTCTGCCGGTGGGCGGAGGAGGCCCAGAGGCAGGGGCGGCGGGAGTCCAGACGCGGAGGCCGGGTGGAGGTTGCTGCGCGCGTTCCGCGCAGTGGGGGCAGCACGGCAGGCCGCGGCCGGCCCTCCCCGCTGTGCCTGCGCCTTTGTCCTCTGCACCCAGAGCGGCTTCCCGTGAGCCTCGCCCGACCCAAGCTTCTGCGTAGCTTCTTTTCCGCTCCCCGTTGTCCAGAGGATACAGCGCAGATGTTCAGGGTTGAACGCGGAGAAGGCAGTTATTTGTGTCCCAGGAAAACGGACGGACGGACCAGGACGTTGAGTGATGCAGTGTGCTGACTCCCGAATGATAACTTCAGCTGAGTCTCGCCCAGAGTTCCACAGTGGGATCCCACCTGACTTCCCCTCGTGGATATTGGATAGGTTACATTTGTCATGGACAGTGCAGAGCTCATGGTCTTCCCCTTCAAATCTATGCTTTCCTCCGTTTTTTCAGTCCCAATACTTGTTATAAAGCAAAGTCCACCTTTTTCTTATGTGCACACATCCAGTCCCGTCAGCAAGTCCAGTCAGTTCAGCCTCAGACTGTATTTCAAATTTGTCCACTTCTCTTCATTTCCATGGCCACAACCCCTGTCCAAGTCACCATCACCTTTCAGTTGAGTGACTGCAGTTTCCTCTTTACTGGCCTCCCAGCTCTGCATCCAGCAACGCAAATAATCTTTAAAAAAAAAAAAAAAAATCATGCCATGCTCCTGCTTTAAACTCTCCTTGGTTTTCCATTGCTCTTAGTTTAAAATCCAGTTGTCTTATCCTGGCCTGCAAGATGCTACGTGTTTTGGCTCTTGCTACCTCTCCTGTTTCTCCTACCACTTGTTTCCTTGCCAGATACCCTCCTCATTGGCCTCCTTTCTCTTCCTCAAATATGCCAAGTTATTTCTTGAGCCTTTTCCTGTGATGTTCCTTCGGCCTAGAGTGACCCCCCACCATGGCTTTTGCCAGGGCTGATTTCTTCAAATCTCAAGTCAGACATTCCTTGAGCAAACTAAGGTAGTCCTTCCCAGATACCCCGTGGATACTAAAACCTGTGATGCTCAAGTACCTTGTATCAAATGGCCTAGTGTTTCCATGTAACATGCGCATACTCCGACATACTTTAAATCATCTCTAGATCACTTGTAATATCTAATACAATGTAGATGCTATGGAAATAGTTGTCATACTATAGTTGTAAAATTTGTGGGTTTTCTTTTTCCCGAAATATATTCATCTGTGGTTGGTGAATCTGTGGATGCGGGGCCCGTCGATTGGTAGGGCTAAGTGCTAAATAAATATTTTTTATTTTTTATTTTTTTCGAGATGGGGTCTCACTCTGTCGCTGAGGCTGGAGTGCAATGGCATGACCTCTGCCTCCCAGGTTCAAGCGATTCTCCTGCCTCAGCCTCCTGAGTAGCTGGTATTACAGGTGACTGCCACCATGCCCGGCTAATTTTTGTATTTTAGGAGAGATGGGGTTTCGCCATGTTGGCCAGTCTGGTCTCTAACTCCTAACCTCAGGTGATCCATTCGCCTCGGCCTGCCAAAGTGCTGGGATTAGAGGCATGAGCCACTGTGCCTGGCCAATAAATATTTTAAATAATTGCAAAATGCAGGCTGTAGAAGGAATTTCTGGATCTCCTGAAATAACTGGGTAGATTAGGTAACCAACAAAGGCTATCACACTCGATTCTGTGTTGCTATACCGATTATAAGTTCATCATCCATTAGAAAATAGTCAAATGGTAATAATTCCTAAACTTAGAAGGTGATTTACCTCATATGTAGTATTTTGAGTTCCATTTTATTCATTTACTCGTTCATTCAAAAAACATATTTTGAGTACTATGTGCTGCACATGAATGAGGTGACATGGGAGATAAACGTATCTTGGAGGATCATAGAGTAGTGTTGACATGACATTTGCATGTAAGACATGCAAGGCAGAGTGTGCTAAATACTGTGGAAGAAGGTACAAGGCTTTGTAGCTTCCAAAGGATTAATCAAGTTTGACTAGCATGATCGGGGAACGCTTTCTGAAATTGTTTGATCTGTGATTTAAAGGATGGTTGCTATTTTAGCAAGGGGTCACAAAAAAGGGGCTGGTATTCTAGTCAGAATGTAATTTGGATATATGGCAATTAAAAATTAAAGGCTGTAATCTGATGGAAATGCTACCTGCATTCCTCCCAGCTCAACACTTCACCTGGGTTCCAGCTTGGTAGAGCTTCAATTCTTAGTTATATGCACTTGGGTGAATTATTTTGGACAAGTATTTTAGCCCTTCTAAACTTCTTCTATGAACTATAATAACTGCCTTGCAGGGTGGCTGTGAGTTTTCAATGGGATAGCATATAAAGCCAAGAGCTTTAGCTTTACCCATGTTAGGTAATTAGTTGGGCTAGCTGGTGTCATTCAGCCTAAATGGAGGTAAGGATGCACCCAAGTTTACTCTGCTAGCCAGAGGAGCTAGCAATCAGTTCCCAAGGCAGCTTCCAATCTGCAGAGTTACAACTTTTGTTGTGGTTTGGTGGTTTGTTGGGGAAGCATAGACTTAGCAAGTGTGGTTTGGGCTGCAGGTGACAATAATTTGGTGACTGTCAGTGTAGTTTCTAACACTGTAATAGTGTAGGTTTTAACAGCACCCCTATACATGCAAATGAAGGTGATACTTGGCTGCTTTCGACAAATAGGAAAAAAGAAAACAGGCTTCCACATGATTTCCTTTGTGTTACTAAAGCACCTCTGGTTTCTTGCATTTCTTCTCTGTGTTAACACCTTCGGTGATAATCTGTTAACTCCTTCAACAGCTGTTTATTGAGCGCCTACTATTTTCAGGCACTGTTCCAGGTACTAGGATAATAGTGGTGAACAAGACAGGTGAGGCACCTGCTCTCATGATTATAATCTGTGGGGAGGGGTAAGTAGAACAGATAACAAGTTAAAAAAAAAAACAGATTCACATAATGGTAAGAGCTATCACCCTGTGTTAAGACTGCTGTGATAAAACTTACTTGGGTACATAGCAGAAAATGCTTCTATAGATGGGAAAAAAAAAAAAACCCTCAAACTTAAATGGGGCTGGGAAGGGGCAGCTAAATGGGAATCAGTGTCAGGGAAGGCCTTTGTAAGGAGATGGCATTTTGAGGCAGTTAGTGTAATTTTGAGCCATTCATAGGAAGTTCTGGGGAAAATAGTTCTAGGCAGAGAGGACAGTGTTTAAACACTCTTAGGAGGGAATGAACTTGGCCAGTTGGCTGGACACAGTGAGTGAGGGGCTGGGTAGGAGAAGTGGGCAAGGGCCTGAGCTTGGATACCAAGCTAAGGAGTTGGAATTTTATTCTGAGTGCTGTGAGTTGCTGCTAGAAGGTTTACTCTGGTGTTCTTATTACATCCCAGTAGATGGGCAAGCAGACCACAGTGGTAATTCCTGCCCTACTGAAAGAACGCTAAGCTCAAGGAGGCTGGTTAGGCACATTAGATCACTCAAGATTTTGGAGAGTCCTGGAAAAGAGTCTCTAGGTGCTTAGGGACCAAAGAATAGCAAAGAATAGAAAGTCACCCATATTTCTGCCATCCAGAAATAGCCACCATGAAATAATGGTCTGTTTCCTTCTAGTCTGTTTTTTACATAGCGGAAAGCATGCTGTAAAATCAACTTTGCATGATTAACATTACATCATCTATCGTTTTTCTTTATCTTAAAGGATGACTCAATTATATTTTGTTGTGTGGCTCTGCCCTAAGTTACTTAACAATTATCTCATAGTTGTATGTTCAAATTATTCTTAGATGCTTTTGAATACTATGAACATCCTTTTGATTCAGAGTTTTGTGTTTCCTTTTTCCCCCCTTTCCTTTTTAACTCCTCTACCTTTCTCTTCAAACACAGAAATAAAAGCTATGCTTTTTAACCAACCAGAAAAGTTTGTGATGCCTCTGAAGTATCCTCCTACCTGCATTTTTTTTAGATTAGTAGAAAGTGAAGTATTTCGCATCTTTGCCTATTAGAGGGCTAAATACCATTGTAAGATCCAGAAATCTTAATTTTAGGGCACCCTCCTCAAACTGTCAAATCTTAAGCTTTATGCCTCTGGCCTTGGAATCGGCAGTCTGTTCTCAGATTTGAAAAAATTAGTTTTGAAATATTTTGCACTTCAAAATTTTTCCTTATTTTTTGGTTTCCACTAAAATGTTTAAAAATGGGAATACATAAATTCCTTTTTTATAAAACATTTAAAGAAACAACGGAATCAGTGATTTATCTAGCATTAAAAGAAATGCTCCTTTGATATGAATTTTATTAACATTTAATAATGATTTCATCTAGATCAGAGGGAGAGTCTTTTTTCCCTCATGCAAAAATTTATATTCTTGTGGAATATAAATACCTATCCAGAGAGTCAGCAAGGCAAACAATGAAAAGACTGAAATATTAAATAATTTTATATTTTAGGTTAACGTTGCAATCCCTTATGGAACCTCAATAAAAAGTAGAGTATTTTTATTTTCTAAAATTAATTGAAGCAGAGTCATGCAAAGACAAAAGAGGATTTATTTCAGATTCAAGATCATTTGTGTGAATATATTTGCAAAATAGAAAACTATCCTTCCCTGCCATATTGTTATTTATTAAAACTAATCTATTAATATAATTATTATATGTAAATCATAATTTTAGATACCCCAATTTGACTAAAACCAGCAGCTTATGCATTTTTTATTTCCCTTTAACAAAAAATAATTATTTTAAGAAAATACTTTTGAATTATTGCTGTCTTTTTTCAACTGTAAGTTTGCTGAGGTGGTTGGTATACGAGTGCCATTTGGGTTACATTGGAAAGGTTTCAGAGCAGTATGTGTTTTGAGCAGTTTGGTCTTGAAGGTTGGCAAAAATGTAGATTAATAGTAATGATGTTGTGGTAAAACTTGGAAATGTTTATGTACTTAACATTTTACTTAAGAGGAGTGCATTATCCCTAAGACAAACAATTAGTCTTGGCAGATGATAAATAAATAGGGTGCTAATTAATGGATGTTGTATTTTCT